TCCTCCTCCGCTCGCTTCACCGGGAGCAGCTCGTTCTCCTCGCGTGGCGGCGCCTGCTCACACCGGCAGCCATCAAGGGACGCTCACAACCGATCGACAGCCTCGCTCTCCACGTCGCCGCAAGCGCCGCCGCCGCCACCAGCGCCGCCTCCCGCACGAACACGCCTGGTTCACACCGCCGAGGTGTGAAGAGACGCCGTCCACACACACACACCAGAGCCGCCTCCCTGCTGCAGACGCGCCCATAGCCACTGTGTGCGCCTCCGCCGCGTCTGCGCCCGCGCGCAGCAGCGCCGCCGCCACCGCCTCGCCCCCCTCCGGCGCCACCTCCGTCGCCCTCACCGCAATGTACAGCGGCGGCGAGGAGGACGCGAGGCCGCACGGGCCGATGGTTCGCCGCAAGGACGGGTCTGCGCCTACGCGCAGAGGAGGGAGGCGTTACACTCTTTTTTCCAAGCGAGGGGGTCGCTGCAAGGACGGGTCGGCGCCGCTAGCCAGCAGCGCCTCCGCCACCGCCGCGTGACCGCCTGTAGCCCAGCCCCTCTCAAGTGTACTCCGCGAACCCCTTCCCTCCGCCTCCGCCGCCGTGCCCGCCTGCAGCCGCCGCGGCGAGAGGCGTGGCAGAGTACAGCACGCCGCAAGGGCCGAGCCAGACACCTTGTGGACATGTCCCGGACATGTCCCGGACATGTCCTCCGAGAGCAGCAGGCCGCAAGAGCCGAGCCAGACACCGCGGTTCGGGTCTGATCCAGACGCGAGCAGAGAGAGGACGGCGGGGCTGTCGCCTGCGGAGGCCGCCTCGTGCAGAGGGGAGCGGGCGTACGGCGCCTGGAGGAGATGTCCAGGACATGTCCGGGACATGTCCGAGCCTCGTGCAGAGGGGAGCGGGCGTACGGCGCCCACGAGGCGGCTTCGAGCGGCGGGGGAGAGCCTGGCGGTAGGGGGTGGGGTTGGGATTAGGGTTAGGGTTGGGGTCGGGGTTGGGGTCGGGGTTGGGTATGGGGTTAGGGTTAGAGGTTAGCCTGGCGGCAGCAGAGCGCAGTGCGCGAGGAGCAGGGCGACGCTCGCCGAAGCGACTGTGCGAGGCACCTGCTTCACAAGAAGGGGAATCGCGAGCACTGTTCGGCGCGACGCGCGTGCGAGTCAGCTGCGACCCGTGTGGTGTCTCGTCTATGAGGTGCAGGAACGGCGAGTCCAGAAACGCACTTGCAGCCCGAGGGCGAGGAGGGCGGTGGTGAGCTTTCCGATCGACTGGCCGAGCGGAAAGTAAAAGATGAAGAAGCGCGCCACGAGCGGAAGGTGCGCCACCACGTCCGACGCTGAAAGCAGCGGCGGCGGCGGCGGTTGCGCGTCCAGAAGCGCCGCAGAAAGGCGCACAGTCGAGCGGGCGGTCGAGAGGAAAAAGGCGACGCAGACGGCAATCGCGGTCTCGAGCGCGAGAACGATGCACCGGCCGAGCGGGATGGCCAGCAGCGCGTGAAGCAGTCGCCGCGGGATCAGCAGCGGAGGGATCATGCGGGATGGCCAGCGGCGCCGGTGTCGAGGAAGAGCGGGCGCCAGCGACAGCGGGGCCGGCGGCCAGCGTTTTCTTGTTTCCGAAAAAGAATTCGGTGGCCGTGGGCACGGGACTGGCGCGCACTGGCACTAACACAGGTACACCGGGGAAAACGTGGTGCACTAACCTCCAAGAAACCCATCGGGTCGCTCCTCATCGCAAACCCTAACCAGCAGAGTCCTCCTTTTACGGGAAGGTACGCAAGAGCCCCACCTACGGCCGACTGCACGCTAAAGGCTACACGCTCGCACACCACTTGCAGAGTGGCTCTCCCAGGCGCTCACCCCACCCGGAGGCACGCCGGGCCCCGGGCAGCCGGCCGTCACTCGCCTAAGCGCCTAAGCGGCCTGAGCGGGGGGGGTGCTTAGGGTGCTTAGGCGCTTAGGCGGCCCTTGCGAGCGTGGCGGCGTCGTAATACAAGTGACTCCGATGGCAATCATGATGCCCCTGCTAGTGTCATCGCTCAGAGAGCAGCCTCACGCACGTCCACTGTCTACCACTGGCCCTGGTCGCACACTGCCACTGACTGAGCTGCGCTGGTCCGCAGGCTGGTGCGGGAACTCAGCATCAGGTCGAGTCGAGGAAGATCGCGGAAGGTCGAATCGAGGAAGAGAACAAGATCAGGACGAGCAGCGCGCCGCCGGCGGTGTGGCCGTAGACGGCCGACTCGCCCTCGACGTGGCCGACGAGCGTCGGCTTGCGTCGCTCGTCAAAGTATACGAGGCAGCGGAAAGCCTGGCTGCTCGCTGAACGCCCCCTCGCTGCCGCCGAGCGACACACGCAGCCGGGCCGACTGGCCAGGCCCGAGCGGCTGCGCGGGCGCCGGGCACTCGATCTGCGCGATGTCGTCTCCTACCGTTCGCTCGAGCGGCAAGTACTGTCCCTGCTCCGCCGCGGCGGGCGTTTCGTCGTTCCACATGCAGAGCAGCATCCGAAAGCCGTCGTTGCGGGGGCTGCCGGGGCCCAGATTGTATCCTCGCACCTGCGGCGGCCGCAGCTCCGGAGGGGCGCTTGGGAGGCTACTGTATTAGGAGGCGCTTATAGGAGGCGCTCAGCGGAGGGCGCACGCTAGGCTAAGGGTCTAGTACCCCCTTAGCTAGGCGCACGCTAGGCGCACGCCCACAGTGGCCGCCTCGTGCGAAGCGCGTGTGGCTCCCTCTTCGGGCGAGTCGCGGCGGGGGCTCGCCGTGAAAGTCTGCGGCCACGAGAGGATGTCCGAGAAGGGCGGCTCGAGCTCGGTGAGGACGGGCGTTTGCGACGAGTCGAAGAAATTGATCTCGAGCTCCGTCGGCAAGTAGAGCGTGCCTCCGCCCAGCCCTCCAGGCTCGAGCACGAGCACACCGAACGGCGTGATCGTGTACGACTCCGGCAGCACCGGCGAGTTGCACACGAGCTCCTCGCCGTCGGCGCTGAGTGAGAGGACGCTGACGCACTCAAGCCGCGTGCCGAAGAAGCAGCGGAGGTCCGAAACGACCGCGTCCGCTCTCGAGATGAGCCCCCGAAGGTTATCGCCCTTCAGATAGACCGGGCAGGCGCCGTCGATGCATCTCTGGTCCGCGAGGTCGAGGCTGTTTGGCGCGTTGTCCGCCTGCGACCCCACGCCGACAGATCTGAGCTGCATCGGCTCGAACCCGTCGATGGAGAAGGTGCTGCTGAGCTCGAACGCGTGCACGCTCGATGGGTAGCCGCAGATCTGCTCTTGCGCGCGGCCATTGTGCGGCAGCCCCAGCACCACAGCCAGGGCCACCCACCACGGGGTTCTCGCCATGGGGACGCCCCAGACCGCGGCGAAATTACTTTCGAACAATTTTTCATGTGCGCCGTGACCCCACAAACAATGGGTCTCACCCCCTCGGCCGTGCGAGCAGTCCGAGGTTGTTTTGTTTTGTTTTGCAGTCTGCCAGTCTCGGAGGTTGATGAACGCTGTGGTTGTGATCGTGCGTGAGCTCTGGCTGTCTTCTTGCCAACAACATACCTCACGCCGAAGGGGAGGACGACTGTCTCTGACGGCGAACCTCAGTTACGAGCCGCCCTCCCCTCGAGACGCGAGGCCAGTGCACTTGGGGCCGAGCCCCAGCGTGCACCGCCCCACACGCCTCACGCGGCCTCTGGCTGGAGCGGGATCGCAAGCGAGTCCCCCAGGCCGGCGCGCGTCTTCCGAGAGAGGAGCAGGAGCGAGGGACATTCTTAGTAAGCCGGCATGCAGATGCATGCACGGCCGTTCAGAAACTCTCCAGCCGTTGGAATGGCTGCGCTCCCGCCCCTCACCGGGCCGAACGGGTAGTAGGCGTTGGCGCCGAAGAGGGAGGAGTCGCCGAAGGACGGGTAGTCGTCGGTCATGCGGGGGGAGGAGTCGTCGGCGAGCAGCAGGGAGGAGAAATGCCTGAGAGGGTGGGGAGGGAGGCGTGAGGCGCGAGGTGAGGGGCGTGGGGGCGCGGGCGCGGGTCGTGCGCGGGTGGGATGCGAGGCGTGAGGCGCAGGGCAGGGGCAAGGTGTTTTGTGTGTGTGGGGGGGGGGGAGTTTGTGCGAGGGCAGGGCAGGGCAGGGCAGGGCGGCGGCGAGCGGCGAGCGGCGTCGGCGAGATCGGCGACGAAGAGAGGCGATGGTGACGTACACGGCGGCAGTGTTCACGGCAGCAGCGCCGGTGGCGGCCCCGCGCAGCGGCGGCGGCGCCCTGAGTGAGGCAGACTGCCCTGCACAGCCTGCTGGGAACGCTCCCGACGAGCGGCGAGCCATGCGGGCCCGCCGCGGGCGACGCGGGCGGCGAGCCGACACGCGTGTCGCCGGCGTAGACAGCACTGGCGAAGCGAGGCGGCCGGCGCCGGCCCCGGAGGCGGCTGCAGTAAGAGCAGCGAGGCAGAAGTCACTGTCCAAGGCGTACTGAGCAGGCTGCCATCGAGCAGCGCGCCATGCGGGCCTGCCGCCGGCGACGAGATTGGAGAGCCGACAGGCATCGAAGGGGTAGGTACTGAGGAGGGCCATCGCGCCCGAGGCGGTCCGCGCCGGCCCTGCAGGCCGTCACAGAGAGCCTGGCGAGGCTGTACAGAATGCCGAGAGCATACTGGGCAGGCTGCCGTCGAGCGACGAGCCATGCTGGCTCGTCGCAGGCGATGAGGTCGAGGAGCCGATCGGAGCGTTGCAGAGGCTGCCGACCACTGCCGTTCGCCCTCGGGCCCAGGGGTGGAAGGCAAGCTTCCTGGCGTTTCTGGCGAGCGTCCAGACGTCGCAGAGCATCCGGCAGGCGCGCAGCGACCCAAATTTTTGCTCACCGCACGGCCGTGCGAGCCGTCGGTCGGTGGTGATGGTCGGCGTCGGCGCGCGCCGACCGACGCGGCGGCGGTGGGCGTCATGTGGCGCGTGTTGGGACTAGACATTGTCCGAATTGCGGCGGACGTCCCTACGTGGCGAAGTGGGTCGCGTCCCCCGATTTCCGTCAACCCAGCATCCACACCCTTTAAAGCCGTACATAACATGGCTCTCGGACTCCGGTCAGGACGCTGGGCATTGTGTTCTCCAAGCGGAACGGGGTGTGACAGCCCAGCAACAAACGCACCGGCGCACCGGGCGATTCGAGTCAGGTAGGGTGCGTGTCATTGCACGTCAGAGAACTGTTCGGAAGGAACTGGCAGTTGGCGAGAACAGCAGAACAGCGTTCAAGAGAGACGGAGCGGGACCGGAAGCTCAAAGCGCGGAAGGGGGCGCGCCGGTGCTGCGGAGCTCACGGAGGCGAGCCCGGCGGACTGTGCGTCGCTGCGTGCCTTGCTCCGTCGTCAGACGTTGATGACGCGCGACAGCTTCTGCAGCCGGTTGAGGAGCAGGTCGCCTAATTAATAGTTAACTCATAGTTCATTAGCCGGTTGAGGAGCAGGTCGCCTGGGCAGCAGCGAACTCGCTGAGCAGCTGAGTTGGCGTCCGAAACCGGTTGCTCGGCGCTTGATCTCGGCGCAATCTCGGCCACCCTCTCGAGCGGCTCTCGCGGCGTAGATCTCGCATTGCTTGATCTCGGAGCCGGGCACAATCTCGCAACAATCTCGCAGCACTCTCGTGCAGATCTCGCCTTGCTTGATCGCCGAGTGGAACTGGGCCGACTGCTTGTCGGGCCGCGTCGACGAGACGACCAGATTCACCTGAGATTAAGCTAATTACGTGAAGTTCATAACTAATACTTAATTAATCGACGAGACGACCAGGTTCACCTGAGAAGCACAGTCTCGCAAAGATGAGCGTCTCTGCCGGCACCGCCCGCTTGGCGGCCACGGCTCGCCTTGTCGATCTTGCACGAGAGCCGCTCCGCCGCGATGAAGCCGGAGAGCTCCTTGCCAGATCAAATGTTTGACCATTACCGAGGATTCATTATGACTGAAACCGGAGCGCTCCTTTCCCAATCAAATGTGAATTGTGAACCCTCGATCAAGGACTAGCTATGACTGGAGCCGGAGCGCGCCTTGTCGAGGAAGTCCGCCGAGACTCCGAAGGAGGTCGCCATGCCTGCGGCAGGGCTCCCCGGTGAGTGATCTGCTGTTCCGTCAGGAGAGAGGCTCTCAAGAGGAGGCTGCGATGCCGGCGAGGGAGACGGAGCGGTACGACTCGAGGAACTGGTTGTACGCGAGCACCTGGCGGTGAATTAACAATTCGTTCATTAATTGACTAAGGAGCGGCTCGAGGACCCGGGCTGCAAGCGGGCACCCGCAGCTCCCTCCAGTAGAAGCGCGTGTGCGCGTGCATGTACCGGTCGGCGTAGAGCGAGTCGACGATCCCGACGAGCGCCTCCGCAGCAATAACAACAACCCATTCAACTCGTCACCAATCGATCACAACTACTTGATGAACGCATCCCGAGGAGCGCCTCCATCAGCGTGCGGTAGCGGCACTCGTGATTATTAATTACTATTAATTATTATTAATTATTAATCGAGCGCCTCCATCAGCGTGCGGTAGCGGCACTCGTACAGCCCGTTGAGCAGGTTGGCGAGGTGCGGGATCTCGCCCAACACTTGCAGGATCTCGGGCGCGTCGATGACCTGCAGGGAGCGAGAGGACACTGCTGAGACAGCTGAGTCACAGTCAAGTGTGACTGCTCTCTCACCTGCAGAGAGCGAGTCGTTACACAGAAGAGCCACGGACTGAGTATGACTCAGCGATCCTCCTCGCCTTGCTCTTGAGGTCTTCATTACTACTTGAATAGTGATTAATAATTAATAATTAATCATTCAGAGATCCTCCTCGCCTTGCTCTTGAGGTCTTCATTACTACTTGAATAGTGATTAATAATTAATAATTAATCATTCAGAGATCCTCCTCGCCTTGCTCTTGAGTTCGGCGCACTAGTATTAATTACTATCAACTTAATTATTCATTAGTCCTCGCTAACTTAATAATTCATCAGTCCTCGCCTTGCTCTTGAGGTCGGCGCTCCAGTATTATTAATTTTTAATTATTACTAATGACCTTGCTCTTGAGGTCGGCGCGCGGCAGCGAGAGCAGCGACGTGGTGACGGTGTACAGCACGAACGTGTTGTACGAGATCAGCTCCGTCGCGGTGAAGGTCGCGACCTGATTAATTAATTATTAATTCATTACCAGTTAGTGTGTTGTACGAAATCACTCCGTCGCGGTGAAGGTCGCGACCTGATTAATTAGTTATTAATTCATTACTAGTTAGTGTGTTGTACGAGATCCGTCGCGGTGAAGGTCGCGACCTGATTAATTAATTATTAATTCATTACCAGTTAGTGTGTTGTACGAAATCAGCTCCGTCGCGGTGAAGGTCGCGACCGAGTCGAGGAGCAGGTCGGCCGCCTGCTGATTAATACATGCTTCGTAATTAATAGCTAATAGGTGGAGAGTCGAGGAGCAGAGTTCAGCCGCCTGTTGGTTAATACTTGGTTAATAATTAATAGTAACTCATAACTCATAGGTGAGTCGAGGTCGGCCGCCTTCTTGAACGAGCGTGTCGAGATGTGGAAGACCGCCTCGTACACCTTGAGCCGGTTCCTGTTCACTCCCAGCCACTACTTAAGCATTAATTCGCAGACGGCCACACCGTGCACCTCGAGGCGGCTCCTCCGCTCCCAGTCCCCGCCTTGGTCGAGCAGGCCCTTGGCAGCGTCGATGGTGTCCGCGGTCAGCTTCTTGTCGTCGAAGAAGAGGGCGAGCCTGATTGGTCAATGAGCAGTAATCACTACATAAGTAGCACACGTCAGCTCCTTGCTGATGCAGGAAGAGAGAGCGAGCCTGATCAATTGATACTTTTAATCATTAAAGAACGCACGTAGCTCCTCGTCGACGAGGGAAGAGAGAGCGGGCCTCAGCTTGGTAAGGAGGAGGTCGAGCTTCGGGCCGAGGCCGACCTGTGCAGCCAGTAGTGGACTCCTCAGTTATCACTGGCCAACCACAGAAGCAGAAGGTCCACACGCTGCGGACCTGTGGGGCACTTCAAACGATTGACCGGTGGAAGGCACATTGCAGAGCGGCCGCTGCTCCGAGAGCCGACCGTCTTGGCGTACGTCTCCTCCAGCGCCGCGAGCGCCTTAGCCCGCTCCCCGATCCGCATCAGGAACTCCGCCTGTCAGCAGCGTCCCCACCCTCATTCTTGCTGTCTTGAGCGCACCCTCCCGGTCCGCACCAGGAGCTCCGCCTTTGCCAGCATCGCGCTGCAAATCTCCGACTCCCCCTCGCTCTCCTGGTCACAGCAAGAGAGGGCGTGAGCACTAGGCGCCGCTCCACACACCCCGCGCTCCCCCCGCTCTCCTCGGCCGTCTTGATCGCGTCGCTCAGCCGCGCCAGCTCCGTCGCGTTGGCCGCCTCCAGCTTCGCGAGCAGAGCGGCATCCGCCTGCAGAGAGAAAGTCTCGAGAAGGTCCCAAGAAGGGGCGCACAAGGCTCCTCCTCCGCCGCTGCGCGAGCGGTGCGGTCGCCTCCCAGCCGAGCGCCTCGCAGGTGGCGCGGTAGAAGGGCGCCATCTCCTTCTCCTCGATCTGCTTCAGCAGCTGCGGGCGAGCGGGCGGGGCGGAGCGGGCGGGCGGTGTCAGGTCTCCTCGCTGAGGCTGGTGAGGCGTGGCGCGGCGGAGAGGCGGCGAGGGCGCGAGGCCAAGGCGCGGCCGTGCCGCGGCGGCCACGACGGCGGGGGCGACGGCCCGTGCGGTCTCTGCGCCGCCCGAGCACGTACCTGCGCCTTGAGCGGCGCTTTGTCGGCCACGGTGGTGCAGCCGAGGGAGAAGCGGAGCTGAGCGCAGTCGAGGTAGTCCGACGTGAGCGGCGGCTTCTCGGCCGCATGCGCGGCGGCAGGCTCAGCAGGCATGGCGCTTGGGCGGCTGCGAAGATGGAGAGAGAGGCGGGCAGCGCCGAGACGTGCGATTTTCTGGAAATAAATAAACAAAGTGGAATGGAAAATCCAAAATCCAAATCGCAAACATAGAAACCCAAACACACACAGCCACGTGGCATAGGAGAGCAGGAGGTGAAAGGAGGTCAGCACAAGTCCAAGGACGCACGAGCGAGAAGCACAGCAGAGCAGACAGATGACGATCACCACCCAGCGCACGACCGCCAACTCTCCGGCGCAGGCCGCGAAGAACCGAGTCCGGGGGCCGACGGTCGCGGCGCGCCGGCGCGGCGCAGTGGACGCAGCCCGGTTCGCAGCTTCGCGAGCTACGGGGGCGGCCACGGCACGGCCCGGTGGCCGCCCCCGCAATGAGGCCAAGCGGTGGGCATCCGGCAAAAGCCGCAAGACGGGATTCGCGAAGGCGCGGGCCACCTTCCGCGGCGGAGGCCGCGGTAGCGCGGCGGCTGCGGAGAGGCACGACAGCATGATGACAAAAGCACGCTGGCGGGGCACCGAGGCAATCGCAAGGGAGACCCCAGCGGGCTCTTTGTCGGTCGCATCGATGCCGCAACGCAAGGACTACACAAACGACGCCGAGCACCACGGCAAGTTCCAGGTGTGGCTCCAGGCAGGCAGCTTCCAAGGCAAGGCGCGTGATGGTGCGGCGGTGCGGGCAGAGCACGCCGCTCCCTTAGGCTCACACGTGTGGTTGTCTTTATAGGAGCGGCAGCAGCGGGTTAGCGCGCAGTACGAGAAACGGGTGCTGGGCTTCGATGCGTGGCTTCAAAAGCAGGGGTATCAAAATAAATACAAACGGACACCTCTCGACGTGCTTAAAAAAAGAAATTTCGCCCCGCGCGAAACTGTACAAGTCTGACAACCTATGCCGCGCCTCCTCGCCTGAGCATCAGCCGAACCCATCGCGAACAGTGCTGTGCGCGCGCGCGCCGACAGGCAACCGCTCACATGACACAGCCTCCGGCGCCCCCCCGCGCCCCTCCACCACCCCTCCCGTGCACGGTGTAGCCTTTCGCGGCGCCGGCGGAGGCCTCGCTGCCGCTGCTGCAGTCGGCCGTCGCAGATGTCCGTGTCGCATCCCAACTTGGGGCATCGCCACGTCCTGCTGTCCAAATCCGGCGCCGTCCTCCTCGCTCCTGCCTCCGCCTGTCACCTCCTCCACGGCAGCGTCTCTGTCCACGGCCTCCGGTACTCCTGCACCGCCAACCGCAGCCTCTCTGGCGAATCGGCCGTGGGAGCGACGACCAACCGCTCGCCGTCGCCTACCCACAGCCGGAGGATTGTGAGCACGCGCTGCTCGTGGCGGGTGTCTCTCCCCCTCCCCTCTCCTCCCTCGCCGTCTCCGGCGTCGCGATCCGCGTCGAGGCCTATGCGACCGCACCCGAGCACTTGATTAACCATTAACTAATTAGCTCGCCGCGGCCGCGGCCGCAAAGGCCTATCCGCACGCGATACGCGGCGGCGGTCTCCGCGTACCCCTCCAGCACCGCCACGTCCTCCCGGATCGCCTCCACGATCGCTCGCCTGTCCGCCTCGCTGATCGCCCTCTCGCCGGCGCGCTGCAGCGACGCCGCGAGGACGAGCGCCGGCACGACCATGCCGACGGTGAGCGCTGCGCGCCGGACGAGTCCCCATTCGTCCGGCGAGGCCGGACCGCTCCCCGGCAGCGCGCCGCCCTCCTCCTCCTCGGCCAGCTCATCCTCGTCCGACGAAACAAAGGGAGGTGGCTGCTGCTGCGGCGCTTGCGGAGCCTGCCCAAACGCATCGCTCTCTCCGTCAGGCGGCACCGCAAAGGAGAGCGGCGAGCCGCGCCGCTGATGGTGGCTGTGCGGAAGGCTCGGCCTCGCGGGCGCGGCGACGCCGGCGCGCCAGGCCACCGCGCCAGCGAACAGCAGTGTCAGCGGAAGTCCCTGCATGCCGACAGGAGGCTAATCGCAGATATAAAAAACCAGTTCTCCGGATCCCATGCCCGCCCCCCCACACCCAGGGAACCCTCTCCGGGACCCATCTCGCCGGGCGCTCATCCAATCTCCGTTCACACTCAGGACGCGTCGTACGTCCAAGCACGTGGAGCACTCTCGCTGCTCCCCGGCCCGGCTCTGGCTACGCCGGTTTATCGATTTCGCACCCTCCATGTGGAGCTATTCTGTCCTCCTCCACTACGGCGTCGGCACGTACGCCGTCCTCCTCGGCTCCTACCTCGCCGCCTGCCTCCCATTTGCCGTCCTCGACCGCTCCGGCTTCGCGACGCGGTGGCGCATCCAGCCGAGCCCGCCTCGACAGGACGTCGCGGCTGCGAAGCGCATGGTCGTACTCAACTTTGCGTGGCTGCTCCCGGCCGTCCTCGCCGCGTCGCCGCTGCTCCGGCTCCTCTTCCCCTCGGACGCTCAGCCGCCGCCGCTGGCGAGCGCTCCGTTCACGGCGTTGGCGTGGTTCGTGCTGCACGACCTCTCCTTCTATTGCTACCACCGCACGCTGCACGAGGTGCCGTGGCTGTACGCGAGTGTCCACAAGCCGCACCACAAGTTCACGGCGCCCTTCGCGTGGACGTCCCACGCGGTGCACCCGGCGGAAATGGCGCTGCAGGCCGCGGGCGCGATGGCGGGGCCTCTGCTCTGGGTGCGGCTGTACGGCCTGCCGGTGCGCGCCTGGTGGTGCTGGCTCGCCCTCGTGCAGGCGCAGGGTGTGATGGACCACTCCGGGTATGACCTGCCCGCGCCGCTCGACTGCTTTGGGATGCTGCCTGGGTTTGGAGGCACGCGCTTCCACGACGACCACCACCGGTACTTTACCGGAAACTACGCAGCCGCCCTCTCCCTCATCGACGACCTGATGGGCACCCGGCTGCGAGTCGAGCCCCGAGGCGGTGCCGGCGCTGGGCGAGGCGCCTCCGCGGTGGTCAGGGCCGTGGAGCCGGCCCGGTGGGACTGGAAGCGCGACGACTTCTAGAGAGGGCGGGGACCGGGGCGAGACCGAGCACCAGCCGCGAGCACGGACGGAGCGCGCGGCCTATCGCTCTGGGAGCTGCGTGTCCTAGTGCGTGTGCTGCGTGTCCGCCACCAGTTTGCATCGAGTTGTATTTCCTTTTTTTCCACTAGTGCGGCTTTTTTTCTTTTTGAGCTCCCCTCCGGTGGGGCTTCTGGCCCCGCGCTTGCTCGGTGCGCGCGTGTGTTCGCGGGGGTGGACGCGCCCCGCGCTTGCGGCGTCGGTGCGCGCGTGCGTGTATTCGCGGGGGTGGGGACGCGGGGGACGGGGCGGTTGTGGCGCTGGCGCGCACGCTCTGCGCCACCAACGACATAAAAACACGTCGGCGGCGGACGGATCCCGCTTCCCGCGGCGACTGTCGATGACGAGGCTCGAGGGGCTGGGGGCTCGATGACGGTCTCTCGCGCATGGACTAGACGTGTGTGGCATGTCCAGGCGCGCGATGCGAGATCATGTTCGTGCGTAAGTTCGTGCGTCAACGTGCCACCGTCGCCGACCCCCCCCCCCCCAA